CCAATTACGCACTTGATTGGCGATTCGCGCTATGTCTTCAAATTTGCTAGTCATCATGGTTGGCTCTGAAATGTGTATTTTTGGCGTGTCGATTTCGATGCCTGGAGGTTTGGGTGAGAGACTGCGATCGTATTTAGTTTCCATGTCCATAATTATATCTAGTAATTTTTCCGTGTACTCCTCAGTTGCTAGATGATCACGTACACGTTTCCGTAGTTCCTCAACGGTTCCTGATGTACTGATCTTAATTTCTTCTAGAATTAGAACCAAATCCTCTTTACGCGCTATCGAAATCCATGCTGTTTTGACCATGTTACCTCGTGTACCGTCTAATGACTCTTTGCGTTAAACGTTTGTACACTTACTCGTCCTGTTCCTAGTTCGTTCTTTTCTAAAACACGGTCCCCTGTTCAACGTTCGTTCTTTTCTAAACAACGTCCCTGTTCAACGTTCGTTCTTTTCTAAAACCAGGTCCCTGCTCGGGCGCCAATTGTAACGACACTTTTGGGTGACGTTCAAAAATTTTTAGTTTTTGCTGGGGTATCCTCAGCCGTCGTCCAGAGTCGTGACAATATATTTATAATTTTGCCGAGACGTTGGTTTTAGAAGAAAACAGAACGTGATTTATATGTATAAATTATATATATAACTTTATTTATTTCATAAAACTTATGATTAACAAAGTTTAATTAAAATTCATTGGAAACATTTCTAATAATAAATAAAAAAAATTATGTTGATGCCAAAATTTCCCACTTCTCCATATACTCCTTGTTAAAAGAATCTTAACAAAACCCGTGTGACTTCTTAAGCCCCTCTGCTGTTGTAAAAAATAAACAAAACGTTTCCTCCGTGCTGTAAAAACTATTTGACCGAATAGGCCAGGTTAAAAAATATACATATAAGACAGGAAAGGAATTTTACACTACGTTTGACTCAAAGAACCAGATTTGTGGCACAATGTGCCAGATGACCAATAGGCCAGTGTACTTGTTTCAGGAAAAGTAAAATTTCAAGTTTGGTAAAATTTACCAGAAGGCCCAATGAGCCAGAGTACTTGCTCTTTCACTTGTCGCAAACCAAGTCCCTGATTATATAAAATGTGCCTCCTTTTATATTGAGCATACCGAAGCTTTTTGGTGTAGCGTACCGGTATTCTTTGCTGTACTTGACTTCGCCGTGAAGTTGAACTTTGTGTTCTACTGTTTTCTCACTTCTTCTGCTTCGCCGTGATTTTTTTTAGTACTATTACTACGCGCCGTGTTTATTTATTTCGTGTGTTATTCCTTTTTAGTTTATATTATATTAAATATTATTATATTAAAAATAAAGTGTTTTAATACTACAAAACAAGGTATTAAATATGCATATATATTCTGTGAATTTAATATTATCTAAATGTGAACAGAAAAGAAATATTAAAAGAAATAAAATTGATGTTGGCGTGCTTAGTTTTGTTTTGTTGTGTTTTGTTTATAAAACTAAAATTGGACAACCAAAAATGTTAAACTGTTTTGTGTTTTTTTTGTTTACGCAGATAAACTAAAATTGAACAACCACGAGTGTTAAATTGTTTTGTGTTTTGTTTTATTTATATATAATTGTAAAAAATAGATATTTGTTTAAAATTTAAACATGTTTCGCCAATAATTGTTCATTGTTGTTGCGTTTATAAGTGTTCCATTCATAAAAGTTTTAACCAAAAATTAATTTCTTTTCGTATATTTTTTTAGAATTTGCACATTGCATGTAGCGATGCCCGCGGCACATTGGCATCGAGGATCACAGGTAATGTCCATGATATTTCAAATAAATATTTTAATTCAATTTTATATTTTCCAGTTAAGTCGCCTTCAGTGATTTTCATGTGAGTTGTTAGATATATTATGTGTAGTGGTGGCGGTTATTTAACACACAGACTGTGTTTTTCTCTGCTTCTTGTTTTATGTAGCACAGAAATTTACTTTGTAAATTTGTGTCGTAACTCTACACAGAAAACACGTTTAATTATGAACAAAGGTTATTGAAAATAAAATAAAATATATATAAAAAAAAAAAAAAAAAAAAAAAAAAAAAAAAAAAAAAAAAAAAAAAAAAAAAAAAAAAAAAAACAATTGTAACGACACTTTTGGTGACGTTCAAAAATTTTTAGTTTTTGCTGGGGTATCCTCAGCCGTCGTCCAGAGTCGTGACAATATATTTATAATTTTGCCGAGACGTTGGTTTTAGAAGAAAACAGAACGTGATTTATATGTATAAATTATATATATATAACTTTATTATTTCATAAACTTATGATTAACAAAGTTTAATTAAAATTCATTGGAAACATTTCTAGTAATAAATAAAAAAAATTATGTTGATGCCAAAATTTCCCACTTCTCCATATATTCCTTGTTAAAAGAATCTTAGCAAAACCCGTGTGAATTCTTAAGCCCCTCTTCTGTTGTTAAAAAAAATAAACAAAACGTTTCCTCCGTGCTGTAAAAAACTATTTGACCGAATAAGCCAGGTTAAAAAAATATACATATAAGACAGGAAAGGAATTTTACACTATGTTTGACTCAAAGAACCAGATTTGTGGCACAATGTGCCAGATGACCAATAGGCCAGTGTACTTGTTTCAGGAAAAGTAAAATTTCAAGTTTGGTAAAATTTACCAGAAGGCCCAATGAGCCAGAGTACTTGCTCTTTCACTTGTCGCAAACCAAGTCCCCGATTATATAAAATGTGCCTCCTTTTATATTGAGCATACCGAAGCTTTTTGGTGTAGCGTACCGGTATTCTTTGCTGTACTTGACTTCGCCGTGAAGTTGAACTTTGTGTTCTACTGTTTTCTCACTTCTTCTGCTTCGCCGTGATTTTTTTTAGTACTATTACTACGCGCCGTGTTTATTTATTTCGTGTGTTATTCCTTTTTAGTTTATATTATATTAAATATTATTATATTAAAAATAAAGTGTTTTAATACTACAAAACAAGGTATTAAATATGCATATATATTCTGTGAATTTAATATTATCTAAATGTGAACAGAAAAGAAATATTAAAAGAAATAAAATTGATGTTGGCGTGCTTAGTTTTGTTTTGTTGTGTTTTGTTTATAAAAATAAAATTGGACAACCAAAAATGTTAAACTGTTTTGTGTTTTTTTTGTTTACGCAGATAAACTAAAATTGAACAACCACGAGTGTTAAATTGTTTTGTGTTTTGTTTTATTTATATATAATTGTAAAAAATAGATATTTGTTTAAAATTTAAACATGTTTCGCCAATAATTGTTCATTGTTGTTGCGTTTATAAGTGTTCCATTCATAAAAGTTTTAACCAAAAATTAATTTCTTTTCGTATATTTTTTTTAGAATTTGTACATTGCATGTAGCGATGCCCGCGGCACATTGGCATCGAGGATCACAGGTAATGTCCATGATATTTCAAACAAATATTTTAATTCAATTTTATATTTTCCAGTTAAGTCGCCTTCAGTTATTTTCATGTGAGTTGTTAGATATATTATGTGTAGTGGTGGCGGTTATTTAACACACAGACTGTGTTTTTCTCTGCTTCTTGTTTTATGTAGCACAGAAATTTACTTTGTAAATTTGTGTCGTTACATTTCCCTCCTTCTTCAGAACAGAAATTAAACTAAAACTTTATTTTAATGACACGTTGATGACCCCTCTTCGGCTAATTTGCACTTGATATTTCTGATTTTCCATTTATCCCTTATTTTCTATATGATACATGCTAATACTTGTGTTACTAATATTCCTTTTAGAACGAGGCTCGATTTCTCTTTCTAATCTTTGGACACTTGAAAATTTTGTAATACTCATCTTGGTTGCTGACATGATGATGGTCATCCTTTCGTTTAAATGTACCTAGACGTTGTACGAAAATCTCTGGTTTGTTTCCTTTTGTGCTTGGTTGACTGACGTTCAATTCCTCTTGTGGTGACCATGTTTCTTGTTGACTGTCATGCTTGACTTTATTCTTTGCTTGAGTTCCTTGGCTTGGTAGTTCCGTGTTAAGTTTACTATCTGAAACATTGATAACTAATGGACCTAATGAATTCGTAAGTTGTACATGACGATTATCCGATACTGGCTGTATTATAGTAGAATTAGCGATGTAGTTGATGACGAAGATGATGGTTGACCAGATTGGTGATTATCTCTTGGTGGTGCTTCTCGTGGTGACTGTGGCTGATTAACCGAAGATGGCGGCTGTGGCTCAAGTTCTTTTGGTTGTAACGATGATTTGAAATTACCTTGCGAATGACTCTGTGACGTTTGCGATGATGATTTAAAATTACCTTGTGAATGCCCCTGTGGCGTTTGCGATGATGATTTAAAATTACCTTGTGAATGCCCCTGTGGCGTTTGCGATGATGATTTAAAATTACCTTGTGAATGCCCCTGCGGCTTTTGCGATGATGATTTAAAATTACCTTGTGAATGCCCCTGTGGTGTTTGCGATGATGATTTAAAATTACCTTGTGAATGCCCCTGTGGCTTTTGCGATGATGATTCTGAACTTGTAGAAGTTGGTAGTACTGGATGATTGACATGTGATGACTCCGGTACTATCATTAAACGTTGTGGCAGTGCTGGACGTGATGATAAGTCATGCTCTTCGATTTGATGCTTTTGCTCTCGTGGTTGCGTATTCTGATTGTAGTTAACTAGTGACTGTTGTGCATATGCTTGTTGATAACCTACTTCTGGACTTTCCCTATGAGACGTTGAACTCTGTGGAGGAGTTACGATGCATTTATGAACTGCCTCCTTGTGTGGTTTTTCCTGTAATGGTACTAAGTGTGATTGTGAATTACTTTGGTGTGGCATATTTAGCGTTGGTAGTATATTTGTTATTGGCCTACTAATTGCTGTTGCTTGTTTTGCGTCTGGTGGAATCGGTTGCTGGTTACTCCTCAGTTGGATGTGATGATTCGATTTAATGCTTTGATTTTGGACTATACTTTCTTGCATCAGTTTTGGTTGACTGGATTCTAATTTGACGGATAAAATGTTTGGGTGGTTGTCGTTCCGCCTGGCGTGACAACCCCCAAAGCGTTTCCCGATGGCCTCTGATGATTTCTGTATGTTGGATTTTCCCTGCAGCACTCGATCGTTCGACGGCCTATAGTACCACAACTCCAGCAAAAAAGTCTCCTAGGCTTTGTGCATTCTCGTGCAAAATGATTTCTTTCCCCACATCTACGACAAGCATTACGCACGTCCACCTTTTCGCTCTGTGTTCTATTAATGGCAATCGGTGGTGACCAATCAAGAGTGCATTGGCGTTCTCTACTACTTAGTTGTGTAAGACGTTCGAATTCTTCTGCTAGTTTGCTTAATTCTCCCAAGGAGCTAAATTCACGCGGTTTGATCTGGAGCTGATACTCTGGTCTACTATTCCGGTAAATCCGACTTAACTGTTGTCTTTCTGTTAACTCAGCATATCGCATCAACTCTTGTAGTGCTAGGGCATAGTCTTGGAATGACTCCGTCTTCTTCTGGTATTTGTTCCGAATTGTGTCTTCTAATTGCTCTAAATAATTAGAAGGCAAGAAAAACTCTCGAACATCCTGAACAAAACTTGACCAGTGTGTCCACTTCCGATTGTTATTCCGGAACCACATTAGGGCTTTTCCTTTCAGTATTTCTGGCATAAGTCTTGGCAGAATGTCTCGGGGAATGTTATAAGTTTCGGAGAGTGTTTCCAAATTTTCCAAAAATGGTAATGGACTTGTTTCACCATTAAAATGTACCTCCCAATTACGCACTTGATT